GCTGAGGATTTATCTTTTCTACTTCCCATTTTCGGTCGAGGGCGGATGTAAAAAAGAAAATGGGACAACCGAGGTGGAGGGTAATATGAGGTATAGAGGACCCCTGACGGCAGAAAAATTTGTTTAGAAGTGTGTGGATGTTATATTACTATGTTATTTTATGGTCACGTGGACCGCATAGTTATGGCGAGGATGACTTCAGTGCTGTATTACATTGTATTTTATGACGCTGTGCAATAACTATTTATCCGATCTGAATGAAATAAAGAACAAGAGAAAGAGCAATGGTTGGGCCTTTTCTTAAATAAAAAGTAGCCAGTAAGCAAGCAAAAAAAACATGGAAAATTAATAGAAAATTATCAAAAAAGTCGATTTTTTTTTTTTTCATATTTCGGACTTCTCACATCTTACAGTTTTTGTTCGATCTCAAAATGCTTTTGCCCCTAAACAGAACATCAGTATGTGCATAGAACTACAAATCGTTTTTTTTTTTATTCAAAATATATATTTTTTTAATGATTATTATTTTTTTTTTTTTTTTTTTTTTTTTTTTTTTATGTATCATGCAATAATTTTGAAACGAATGATTGAATTTCTAAATTTGAATACATTGTTTTGTTTATATGCCCTAGAGGTTTTCTCAACAAAAGTGATATAGAAAATCAAGTGATAACTCTGGGACATGAGAAGGCCAGAGTTAACCTAACTTTAAAAAAAATTGATTTTTCGTTGCGCCTACAATTCCCTTCGGTCAAATTAAATAAAATTCAGTATAAAGATGTGTAATAAAGTACTCTTTTATCCTACCACATATCATTAAAATCTGTAAGACCATTTTCTATTTTTCAACAAAAAAGTGAAAATTGGCATTTTTTCAAGGACAGTCACCTTAACCCAATGCCGATGGGCATGGCATCTACGTACATATATATCAAGTTACCAATAAGCCAGTTATGAGTACTGCCTGTCTCGCTTGTTTACCCTTTTCCTTGATTTATGAAAATATTTTTTGTTATCCTATTTTGCTGTTATTAATATTTATATTAAAAATAACACCATCAATATTCATAGCACTAGTAAAAACTAGTTTTTCCTGCCAGTTCAAGGAAAGGTGAAATTAGGGCAGGTCACAAGGCCTACTAATTGACTCTTTTGTGGCAAAGTACTAGCAGAGCCATCTATATGCAGAGACATTTCACAAAAATATAAAAAATGAGCACAGCATTTTCCCCATTTTTAAAATTTTTCTTATTTTCATCGGGGGCATGTGGTTAACCCATTCGCGCCGGGTAAAAATGAACAAAAAATGGGGGAAATGCTGTGTTCATTTTTTATATTTTTTAATGAAATTTCTCTACACTAGATGGCTCTGCTTTACTGGATTTCATTTGGCGGGAAAATGTATTTCTACTAGTGCTATGAATATCAATGGTTATTTGTATTATAAACATTATAATTACTCTAATGTTATAAACATTAGTAACAGGAAAATAAGATAACGCAAAATAATTTCGTAAATTAAAGAAAAGGGTAAACAGACGAGACAGGCAGTACAAGTGCAAGTGGAGCCATCTATGTTTGTAAACAATCAAACAAGTAAACTCAAAGTGGGCCCGTCACGTATAGGTGACACCCGGCGCGAATGGGTTAATAGTGTGTATCTGTGAGACAACACTTAGCACTTGATAGATGGCAGACTAAACTTGGCTAAACTCTCATTTTCAAGGAATTCATAAACACACTAAATCTTCATACATACAAGCCTTCAAAGTTACCAAAAAATACAAAAAGAAGAATATAAGAGAATCCAAACAACCTATAATGGAATTTCTTTTGTTTATGATTATTTCACTTCTCAAAACTGTACAATACTAACCTGTCTCTCTGGGATATCACCAAGCAGGAGTTCCACGACTACTGCCAACTTCTGTACAGACTGTCTGAAGCCTACAGCGGTCTGCTGTGGAGCTTTGCGAAGAGCCTGAATGAGATGCTTGTGGGCCTCTGAGTACTCCAACTGGATACCCTTGATGCGTCCCATGTAGTAGTGGTACCGTGCTACCTCATTATTGTTGGCCTGGAATTTACAAGGAAAGGAGAATTGGAAAGAAGATCTTGATTTGGGCCAACTGGGTTCCTGAATATACTATAATGAAAATATATATATAGTTATAATACACACTTTGACATATCATAATCTCCTTTGCTTCCATTTTTTGAGTGTCAAACAATAGTCAGACTACTTTCAACATGTAGTTTTAAAAAAATGGAAAAATATCAATACCAAACCACATTCAATGCAAATGCATACAGCGCAATTATCAATATTTTCATTCCAAAAATAGAAAATGCAAAATCCTCAAGAAATTAGACTAACCTGTTGAGGAAACTCAAGCTTGACAATCAGCTTCTGTGCCTGGTCGTAGAGGGAGTAGTGGAGATAGTTGCGCAGGAGACAGTTGATTAGGACAGCCTGGCCCTCATGGTCCTTGCGGAGAGTAGCCTGGCACAGACGTTGGTGCAAAAATCTGAATCATAGAATAGCAAAGTTTGAGTACATATGCCCTTATACAAAAATCTGGATCACAGAATAGCAAAGTTTGAGCACATATGCCCTTAAACAAATGCACATTGGATTATATTGGTAAAATATTCTAACTGTAATAATGTGGTGTAAAATAACTTAATTCTTTATTTTTCATCTTATAAAAGAACAGAACTAAAAATGTCTCATCCTATTAATCATGTATATATTCATTATTACTTGATCTTATCCAATGCATAAATAAAAAGTCGAATTGGTGTTTGAATATATCTAGTATGGCCAATCAAAACACTGAGCAAACAATTCTGAAAAACATTGTCACTGCTTATGACATCAAATCATGATTCCCAATCAAACATTTCAACTATGGCAATATACGGCCAACTGCTGCCAGAGGCCCTTGTCACCTTGAGTGCCCTTTCACCAAGACAATAAAAGAGTAATTAGCATTCTACTCCATGAATTAAACATTCTCTCCCCACTATCTCCCTCCTTCCCTAGCCTTTCACTCCCTTAATCCCCTCCCCCCATCTTCTTCTCTCTCTTTCCTCTATGTCTGTCTGTCTCCCCCCCTTCTCCCTCTCTTTCACTTTAAACCCTTCCCGACGGGTGACGCCACTAGATGTGAAAACACACCGCTTGAAAAGTGGCGTGTGGCTGTACACCACGGTGGAGCGCCAAAGCGCGGCGAGCCAGTGATTCGGGCTGATGTACTGAACTCACGCGCTCAAAGTCGTTTTTTTTTTTTTTTTTGTTTTGTTTTCTTCACCCATCACCATTGGGTTATAGGTGCTAAATAATCATTGCTGTTAACCATCCTAGGTAGACTAGCAAAATGCATCACCATTGTTTACACAATTTAGCAGGTAGTGCCTAAACCTTTCACATCTATTGTACAACTCACATAAAATAAATCTCCATTACACAAACTTACCCTCTTATTTCATCCAGTCTGTTGTTGACTTCATAAGCTCGCGAGTGATAAAAATAACAGCGTGCAGCGAGCAAGTCAAGGGTGCGCCTGTTTACTGATGTCACTTTGTTCATCAACAGATCTGGAAGCAAAATACATAATTCCTACTAAAGGGGACTGTCCCAGATTTCAGTGGGGTTAATTGGGGAGGGGGGGGGTAATTATTTACACAGTTTTACACTCATACATGAATGTAAAATTATCCATGCGGATATAAACCTCTGTAAAGAAGAATTTGTCAGTCTCAGGAGTCGGTGACTCTCAGCCAGAATTGTGCAGTGTTAGCAGTTTTTACATGTCCCTACTGGAGTGAAAATGAAACCCTGTATATTGACATTACCTACTGAAATAGACCATGGGAGGATGTGACCTCCCATGAAAGATTCCTCATAATGTGAAGGATTTATAATGAAAATGAAAGAAAAGAGGGGGTGGGGAAAAAAAAAAAAATCATCTTTTTCATAATAAATGTGATAAGATATGATTAGATTTTTACAAATATCACATATATTAATTTAAATTTTGACACTAATACATGAGCAGTAATGAGTCTATCCAGAAAAATAAATGAGAAACCCTTTTGTTTAGACAGGACAGTAAGTGGTCCTGTGGCCAGACAACAGGCCTGGCAAGAGATGTGTTGTGTGCATAGGAAAGATTTTATCTTTTTTTGTGTGTTCTTTGGAGCTTGAGCAATTGAGGAAATGCATAATAGCAATAATGCAGCAACTTTTTACAATATATAAACAATTACAAAAATTACTAAAAATCCCACAAAAAAATGCCAATCACTTTGTATTAAATCACAAAAAATATTATTGGAAAACAAACAGTGGTGAGTTTACATTTCAAAATAACAACAAACCTAAAAGATAATGAACTGAAGCCTCCACATTTTTTCTCTCTCTCCCAGACTGCAATTCCTGAACAGTGTGGGCCAATAGTGGTGCATAGGAGAATTACACTCATAATACAAAGCAGAAAAGGAGTAAAAAATTTCTTTTGCATGGAGGCAAATTTCAAAAAATTTAGTGTCAAAAGATGCAGAATGCTAAAATACACCAAATATCCAAATTTGAAGAAAATTGGTAAGATGATGTTCTTTCTTATTAATATCAATAGATTCCCCCCCCCCCTTTCCCCACCACTTCCAGGGATGGCCCCCTTAATCTTAAATATTCATAGATTAAGATTTCATGCAGTAATATGCATACATAAATACTGATGCTCTTATCTTTATTCTCTGTTATCTTTATCATAAACTGTATGACATTGTAGCTACAATTTTAAGATGCTTACTAAAATTACAAAAGGACGGCTATCGTTTCTCTAATACCAAATCTAACTGTATCAGTAACAATAAAACCCAAACCTACAGTCCATATCATCACCATTTTTTTTTTTTTTTTTTTTACTTACTTACTTACTTACCTGAGCACTTAATAGCATCCGAATTGCTGTTGGTGTCAAGAAGTCGCAGCAGAACCAAGAGATGGATGTACACATCGACCTCTAACACCAACTGGCTACGCTGACGCCCCAAGTTGGCTGCAAAGGTCATATTAATATTAATAAAAGAATATGATCACCTCACTTACATCAACGAAGTAAAAATATGCTATATATATCAAGTGATAAATAATATTTCTACAATTAAAATCTTAACCCTTTAAGTTTTATCAATCATGACTATGGCTTGTCACATATTGTCTTCACCATGATTATGGCTGAGCTGCCAAAAACCCAGCGCACACAGACACACTCACACTCACACATATATATACATACATATACATATATACATACATACATACATATACAGATATACATACATACATACATATACAGATATACATACATACATACATATACAGATATACATACATACATACATATACAGATATACATACATACATACATATACAGATATACATACATACATACATATACAGATATACATACATACATACATATACAGATATACATACATACATACATATACAGATATACATACATACATATACAGATATACATACATACATATACAGATATACATACATACATATACAGATATACATACATACATACATACATACATATACAGATATACATACATACATACATACATACATATACAGATATACATACATACATACATACATACATATACAGATATACATACATACATACATACATACATATACAGATATACATACATACATACATACATATACAGATATACATACATACATACATACATACATATACAGATATACATACATACATACATACATACATATACAGATATACATACATACATACATACATACATATACAGATATACATACATACATATACAGATATACAGATATACATACATACATACATATACAGATATACATACATACATACATATACAGATATACATACATACATATACAGATATACATACATACATATACAGATATACATACATACATATACAGATATACATACATACATACATACATATACAGATATACATACATACATACATACATACATATACAGATATACATACATACATACATACATACATATACAGATATACATACATACATACATACATACATATACAGATATACATACATACATACATACATACATATACAGATATACATACATACATACATACATACATATACAGATATACATACATACATACATACATACATATACAGATATACATACATACATACATACATACATATACAGATATACATACATACATACATACATATACAGATATACATACATACATATACAGATATACAGATATACATACATACATACATATACAGATATACATACATACATACATATACAGATATACATACATACATATACAGATATACATACATACATATACAGATATACATACATACATATACAGATATACATACATACATATACAGATATACATACATACATACATACATATACAGATATACATACATACATACATACATACATATACAGATATACATACATACATACATACATACATATACAGATATACATACATACATATACAGATATACAGATATACATACATACATACATATACAGATATACATACATACATACATATACAGATATACATACATACATATACAGATATACATACATACATATACAGATATACATACATACATATACAGATATACATACATACATATACAGATATACATACATACATACATACATATACAGATATACATACATACATACATACATACATATACAGATATACATACATACATACATACATACATATACAGATATACATACATACATACATACATACATATACAGATATACATACATACATACATACATACATATACAGATATACATACATACATACATACATATACAGATATACATACATACATACATACATATACAGATATACATACATACATACATACATACATATACAGATATACATACATACATACATACATACATATACAGATATACATACATACATATACAGATATACAGATATACATATACATATATACATATATACATATACATATATACATATATACATATACATATATACATACATACATATACATATATACATACATACATATACATATATACATACATACATATACATATATACATACATACATATACATATATACATACATACATATACATATATACATACATACATATACATATATACATACATACATATACATATATACATACATACATATACATATATACATACATACATATACATATATACATACATGCATATACATATATACATACATGCATATACATATATACATACATGCATATACATATATACATACATGCATATACATATATACATACATGCATATACATATATACATACATGCATATACATATATACATACATGCATATACATATATACATACATGCATATACATATATACATACATGCATATACATATATACATACATGCATATACATATATACATACATGCATATACATATATACATACACACATATACATATATACATACACACATATACATATATACATACATACATATACATATATACATACATACATATACATATATACATACATACATATACATATATACATACATACATATACATATATACATACATACATATACATATAAACAAACATACATATACATATAAACAAACATACATATACATATAAACAATATACATATAAACAAACATACATATACATATAAACAAACATACATACACATATAAACAAACATACATACACATATAAACAAACATACATTATATATTTATACATAAACATATACATATACATATTCATATATACACATATATACATAAACATGTATTTACACACATACATAAATGTACTTATTCATAAAATGGAAGCTTCCTGGATGGTAGTTTCTAGCTTTTCTGAGCAATGATGTGTCAGTGTCTTGCAAATGCTGTTTGATGATTAACCATAAATTTTCTATGGGATTTAAGTCTAGGTTGTTGCTTAGCCAATCCCTAAAGCAGGGGCCGGATCCAGGATTGTTAGAAAGGGGGGGTGTAACCCCTAGCCGAGACGATTGTGAGTGCCAAAGGCACGAAGCCTAAGCGGGATAGAAAGTTTCTATCAATTATCCCTTCTATTGCTGACTGGGACTTTTCCTACCTATATCCCACATCTTTCCCTGATGATGTGTAAAAAATTCCTTGGTTAAAAATCATTATTCTGTCAAAAATAGGGGGGTGTACGCCGCCTCCCCCCCTAGATCCGGCCCTGTAAAGTGCTTCATAACCCTGAAGACACAGTTGCACTGACTTTGCCAAGTGGGAAGGAGCACCATCCTGCATGAAAATAGCCTGGGTTATCTTAAATAAGCTGGGTAGAAAGTCACAGAGAAGCTCTAGGTAATTATTTGGGTTCATCTCACTGGCAGAGAGATATACAATACCTCCAATACCATAATAAGTGAAGCAACCCGTACAGTGAGGGATCCAGGGTGTTTTACTGCGGGAGGAGGGCATCTGAGTAGGGGCCCGATAGACTCTCCTTCCATAGCTGCCAGTCATGGTAAATCTTGCATCATCCGACCAAGGTACACTTTGCCAGATGTCAAGGTCCCCTCTTGATATTTCTTAGGAAAGGAGATACACTTCTTTTTCTGATCATTACTAAGCAGTGGTTTCTTCCAAATCCAAAAACTTTCAAATTCAATTCAAATTGTCATGGACACAATCCTGTAAGCATATATGTATCTAAGCGCCCCCCTTGCAGTCAACTGAAAAGACAGTAAAATACCCTCATGGCATGGGGTTGCTTCACTTATTATGGCATTACAGATCTTGTATTTTTTCCTGCCAATGAGAAGATGAACCAAAATAATTACTTGTGCTTCTCTGTAACTATCTACCCCGCTGATTTGAGTTGACCCAAGCAGATATTTTCATGCAGGATGGTGCTCCTTGCCGTACGGCAAAATTAGTACAAATGTGAATTTAAGTATTTTAGGGATTGGCCAGGCATTAGCCCAGACCTAGATACCACAGAAAACTTATGGTCGATAAGCAAGTGGCGTCTGCGTGACATCCATGCCATCACTCCGAAAGTTGGAAACTGCCATCCAGGAAGCTTGGCCCTCATTTGCAATGGAAATTCTACACACTTTAGCCAAGTCTGTCCCCAGGAAGTTGGCAGAATGTGTGAAGTGCAAGGGCAAAGCCCCAAAATATTATTAATGTTTTATTTCTTCTAGTAATGAACAAGTAAATAAGCGATGTGTAATTTGCCTTGCTGAAACTTGAGAGAGCAAGCCACATTTGCAGCAGAGTGGTTAAGAGGTTAAAGTGTAAAGAACTAGAAGGGTAAATGCCATATAGGCTTTCTTGATTGTTTCATTTAAAAAACCTCTTCACATTTTTTTTTTTTTTTATACAGATATACATTACATACATACATACTATACATATATACATACATGCATATACATATATACATATACATATAAACAAACATACATATACAGATAGACATACATACATACATCTACAGATATACATACATCATACATACATATACAGGATATACATACATACATCTACAGATATACATACTACATACATACATAACATACATATACAGATAGACATACATACATATACAGATTATACATACATACATCCATATACAGATATACAGATATACAGACATACATATACAGATATACCTACATACATATACAGGATATACATACATACATACAGACATACATACATACATACATACAATACATACATACATAACATATACAGATATACTACATACATACATAATACATATACATATAAACAAACATACATATACAGATATAAATACATACATACATATTACAGATATACATACATTACATACATACATACATAATACATACATACATAATACATACATACATATACATATAAACAATATACATATAAACAATATACATATAAACAATATACATATAAACAAACATACATACATACAACATATACAGATATACATACATACATAATACATACATATACATACATACATAATATACAGATATACATAATACATACATATACAATATACATACATACATAATACATATACATATAAACAAACATACATATACATATATACATACATGCATATACATATATACATTACATACATACATACCTACATATACAGATATACAGATATAAATACATACAATATATCCTGGATGCTTTAAATTTAACTGAAAATTCTTCTTCACTTAACCCAATAATGCCGCGTGTACAAAACAAAAAAAAATCTACGCTCTAGCAAACAAAGGCGGGAACCGACTTTGAGTGCGTGAGAAGGGGACATCAGCCCGAATCACTGGCTGGCTGTGCTTTGGTGCACCGCCGCGGCATACGGCTGCACGCCAGCTTTCGAGCGGTTTGTTTTCACACCGATCAGCGTCACCCGGCACCAAGGGGTTAGGAAATTAAAAATTGCCTGGGCTCAACGCCTGGGCTCATCATGGCTGCCAGGATCTAAACTCATGACATGAAATTTGTGAAATTTCATGCAGTGCATTGGCTTTTGTAACTAGGATATCCCACATTTACAATGTAGAGTAAATTATTTCAGACGCATCAAGAGAAACTCATGCAGTAGCACATAGCATATTTAAATTCCCGTGCAATGCTTCCCATAATATGGAGTAAACGTATCAATTTGCAAAGAAAGAAATGTATAAAACTTGATATTATTACAATTTTACTCTTAAACTGTTATATCTTATTAGACAGAATAAAATCTCCTTCCTGTAACTTAAAATCCAGGCTTTATCTACATAAAAAAAAAAAAATGTATCACAATAAATATAAACGGTCAATATGAATGACATGGTAGTGGCTTGCTTTCAAAATAATTTTTATGCTTTCTGTTGGATGTACACTAATTTCAATGTTACTATGATTTGTTCCTTGTGCAAATGAATCATAAGAAGTATTTTAAGAAATTTATAGGATAATAAAGGAGAAATACTATAAACAAAAAACATAAATGCATAGAAACACCCTTGAAAATACTGAAAATCTGCTTATGGAACTCTAAAGAGACACCCACCATCTTTGAAAGCCTTCAGGTCTACTGGCAACCAACCAAACTTTCAGTAAATTCTACAGCCATAAGACCACCAAAAGCCCCTAGCGTGAACCCCGTGGTCCTTAGACAAAATGATCATCTCATCACATAAGAATAAATCTGATGATATAAATATTGTCTGAAAAGGCCCAACTTTCATAATTGAAAAAATAACCTTGGTTTGTTTAATTCTACCACTTCATGAAGGTTCATCCAAACACCTATTGAGATAAGAGATTCACATATTTTTTTAAAGTTCGGTTTAACGTCACGAATCTCCCTTTTTGATCTAGGACGGGCCTGTCCCATGAAAGGACGGGCAGGAACTGACAGGTGGAGACCGTTTCCCCGAGTGGATGCCCTTCCTAACCTCGGGCCGTGGCCGGGATTCATACCCATAGGCTTGCGGACCCTCCGAACTCTGGCTGAGTGAGGGTGATATGCTGCATTCGGAACTCCTTGTCTTGCGTCCAGACAACTTGTCAGGACCAGCAGGACAACGAGGTCTTCCCTGCCCACAAAGCAAACAGCTTGAAAGTAAACATTCACTATTTTATCATATTGGTCTCTTTATTTTACACGTTACGTGGGTTTTGTAACTTCTTCGTAACGTCCTCTCGTCCTGCAGCGAACCAGGCGAGACGGACGAGATGGACAACTTGTCTGGGACGTGAAAGTAGGGGTTCCAAACGGTCAAAGCCATCTTGTCCCTCTCGTTTAACTTGGACAAGGGCTTCCGAACGCAGAATTATGGATTTACTCTCAGAGTGGTGACATGCACTGGATGTTTCCATGGTAAGATGTTTATTACTCTATTCCTTAAGCTAAATACAACGGTAGTGTCCATTTCCCTCCCTCTTTGTGTGTGTAAATACAGGCGGAGCAGCTGGACTTGTGTTGTTTATCTCTCCTCCTTTTGCTCTATTAAAGGGCAGTGTCCATTTCCATCAATTTTTTTGATCTCGGCGACATTAACCTTAATATTTTTGGGCATCGCGTTACAATATAAGATGAAGAGCACCAAAACTTCTCAAAATCGGAAGGAAGGAAGGACTGGCGGCCACAAAAACACAACCAATTCCTCCTCCAATATTTACCTTCCAGCGATAACGTATCCGGATCTTTCTTTTCGGTCTCGCTCTCCTTCTCCTTCTCTTTCTCCTTCTCATTCGTGGTTACTTCCATCGCCTCCACCGTCATGTTTAGCGACCAAAATGACCAAAAATCCGACGCGAGGAAAAGGACCGCAAAGTAGCTTCTCTCTCTCTAATGACAACGACCCGGTGGCGGAC